CCAAACTCACAATTTAGATTGTTGACAACAGTTTAAACACATTGTTTTTTATTTTTTCTCTTTCTTCAATTTCAAGCTTAAAATATCACAACTTGTTCATTTTAACTCCAATTAAGATGATTTTTTTTTCCTATATGTACACAATGAAGAGATGAACAAATCCACATCCATATTGCACATTTAAATATGTTGTTCACAATTATAACATTTGTTGCAAAACTCTAATGATAGTTTTTAACACTATCCAAATACAATTCGGATTTATTCCCAATTCAGATTAAATTTTTTTTGCGTATATAAACACCGGTTTGAATTGCTCACCACAATTGAGATTGTACAATTCTAACCAAATCACTACAATTTATTTGCGAAACTCTAATGTCTTTTCCACTCAATTGGCTTTCTCCAAACAGGCTAGTAGTTTCTTTTCTTTTTCCCCTTGATGAATGCCAAACTAGAGTGGATTGAAATGCTCGGTTCTTCCTTGGACAGTGGTTAAAATAAATAAATAAAAGAAGAAACAATTTTGTTCATTGATTAAGTTATTTCTTTTTGGTATTTGTTTCAGGATCCAATGAGAGGTGGTAATGATCAAATGTTTGAAGATTTGTTAAACATCATTCATGCTGACGACCCAGATGCACTTGCTAAAGATGCGGCGGCTCCTCCAAGAAAACGCCTCGTACCTGAATGCATGTTGAGATTAGCTCGCAGAGTCAGCCCATTCTGACCAATTTTTTCATATATTGATTTATATCGCAGTTTCAAAATCTACTCATTTTGTATATATGTTTATATCACAGTGACAGTTGCAGTTCTTCTCCTATTTTCTTTTTGTAACCTTCACCTTTTGCCCTCCTAATTCTCTTTTCTTACACTGCAATTTTCCCTTCAGACAATTTTTTTCTTGCCCCCCCTTTTTTCTTTGTATCTCACTAAATATAGATATTGATATTGTGGGAAAAGAAAGGATTGTAAAAAAGATAATTCAGGATGATATGTACTTTGAGCACCTACTTTCAAATTGTAATTTATTTCATCAGGATGACATACATGGGAGAATACCAGTCCCCAAGTATCACTGCTCAACAAGAAAGCTCAAGATACAAATATTATAAAAGTCAAACAAGGAAACATAAATATTCATCTAGCTTCATCATTAGCATAAAACACGCGTTTAGCCGGCGACATCCGGTTAATGCTTTGCTGCAGCCTTGCCACCTTTGCCCTGCACAAACCAAACATGAATTGTCATCAAACCAAATTCACAAAATGAATTATAAAGTCCTCGGAATTTAGCACCTGAGTGTAAGCGAAATACCTTCTTAGGTTCCTGGGGCTTCTGTCGAGCCTTCTTTGATGGCGCCTTGGGGGACTGAGCTTTTGCCGTACTCTCACCAGCCTTAGCAGGCTCCTTCTTGCCCTGCCCAAAGAGCTGTGTGCCAACTGGTCTTTCAGCCTTCATTGATGCCAAAACAGAAGCGTAAGTAAAAGCTTAAAAACTATATGAGCCCTTGGTTTGCCTTGCCTCACACACTCATGACATAGCAAATTTATAAGAGAGTTATGCTCAATTATGTAAAAGGAATTGGAATCGCAAGTTACAAGTAAGAAAAGGTGAGGATGAGAGGGAATGGTGGTATTTCAGGATAATGGAATAACTGATATGGAGAGCACTTGGATTGGAAGGACAGGGCACCGGATACTTTGCTTATTACCGCCATATATATTATGTTAAACCAATCTGGCTATGGTGTTAAAAAGAGTGGAATATTATTGATTTCAAAGGGAGATAATAGAGTGGCCACTCGTTTTTAATAGTGATGTATATAATACGCTTTTGTATAAAACACCAAAAGAAACTTCTATTGATTCATTGGGTTTTGGGGGCTGTTTATGTAAATGAGCTTGTATATTTTCACAGAATGCATGTAAGTGGGTATGACATCGTAATACGTAAAATATGTATACAGAGACTTGTTTGGAACTGGAAACGAGCTGTTGGGTTAATACTGACTATTATGTTTGGTAGGAAAGAAAAGTAGAAGGAAGGAAGAAGGTGGACGGATTTTGGGAGAGAAAATGAAAATGTAGGTTGTTTGGTAGGAGAGAAAAGAGAAAGGAAGAGAAAATAAAGTGGAAAATAATATATGTGGGCCCCACCATTTTTTTTTCTTTCCACAGAGTGGGCAGAAAATTGGATGGAAAATGGGGACAACTCATTAAAGTGAGCAAAGTTACTAGGGCCCGTTCACTTCGCTGATTTGAGTTTGTAATTCGAGTTGAGATGTGATTTTGTGTGAGAGCTTTTTACTGTAGCAAAAAAGTTAGATGTGACTGTTTCTGAGAGCTTTTTACTGTAGTAAAACTCGAATCAGCGAAATGAACGAGGCTAACTATCATTTTTTCCATCAACATCTAAGCAAAAAATTTAAGGGTATAAAAGTAATTTATGAGTAAGATTTTTTCTTTCCTCCCAATTTAACTTTCAATACCAAATAAGTGAAGGTAAGCTCATTTTCTTTCCATCTTCTCATACCAAACAACATAAAAGAAAATCAATTTCCTTTTCATCATTGCTATTTTTCATCACTTTCATATTTCTTTTCTATCATATTTTCTTTCCTTCCTACCAAACATAGCATTAATATCGTGGCAGGGAGAGGTTTCCGCCCACCTCCCAATCGAAAACAAGAATTTGTCCCCATCCCGCTTCAAACCCCGTTTCTAATCTTCTGTCCTAGTCCAATTAGGAGCAGGGCACTAGAGAAAAACAACAAATTTCTAACTTAGCTTTTAGATTATAGGTATAGATCTTAGCTCTAGTAGTATTATTATAACTGTAAACTTGCTGGTCAATCGAAAATTACCACCATATCAACCTAATATGTTGATAGTTTGTTACTTTATAATTAATAAGACACATCTAAATTCATTATACATGTATTTATATTTAAATAAATAAAAATAACTCAAATAACTTAGATTTATTACTTGAAGAAGCTAGACCACTTAATTTACATTGTCTCGTCAAGAAGTCAAAAGTCTATAATTAGTTTTACCATTGAATTTTTGTTGTTTGATGACACGCTACAAGATAATTGGAGTCAATTTTCAATATTTTACTAACTACCTGTAAATTCTTTTTGTTTTTTTGTTTTTTTTTGTTTTTTCCTTAACATAAAAAAGTAGAAATCAATAGTACACGTGGGGTTTTTCTGCTATTATGATGTTAGACAATAATATCGTTACACCTTCACATTTTAGAAAATGTTGTAATATCATTCTTAGCTTTCTTAACTTTGAATATCAAGAAAGTAATTTCAATGCAAACTGACTCAAAATCATTCAAGTATGGAGATACTTATTATTTATTTCTTAAGCCTCATGAAAGAGATATCACAAACTATACATATGATAACAACTCGTTGTTAGACGTTACTAAAGTATTACATGTACTCATCGAGAAATATAACTGAAATAGGGCCTACTGCTTGATTTAGTATTCAAAATTTAGTTTTACGTATCGCTTAATTATATTATGTCTTTGATATCTTTATAGCCAATAATTACATCTTATTGTACAAAGAATATTATTGCTAATTAACCCATTACGATTCTTATTCTTAAATTGAGTAAGGGAGAATGAATTAACTTGATTATAATTATACTCCCTAATATATAGGCAAGTTAATGATAGAAAAAGGAATATTTGCATCTCTTTGGAGAGGAAGAAGCCTTTATAAGTACAGATGCAAGAACGGGCCGGCCCGGCCAGGCCCGTTCTCTTTAGGCCCATGCGGGCTGTGGGCCGGGCCGGCACATTCCACGAATTTTAGGGGCCGGGCTGGGCCGGCCCGTATAATAATTAGCTCGGCCCAGCTCACACCACGGGCCAATTTTACGTGGGCCAGGCTGGGCTGTGTCGTGGGCTAGGATGGGCCATGTCTAGCCTATTCAAGGCTCATATTAGCTCATCATGGGTTTAGATGGGCCAGCCCATCTAAGCATGTAATTTTTAATTTTTAATTTTTAAATAAGTTAACAGATATAAAATTTTGAATAGTCAATGGAAATATGAAAATGGATATTTTATTTACGATTGCCTCATTAAAAAAAAAACCTTTCTAAGGAAAACCTAGTGAGACAAAACCTTAGTAAGGAAAAAAGAGTACAATCAGAATAATTATACATAAGATGTTTACAAAATTACTGAAAAAAGAAAAATAAACATGAAGATATTATGGTCCTAGATGGGGGGTTGGATTGGCCCATTATAGGCCTAGACGGGACGGGCTGGGCCGGCCCATCATGGGCCTAGACAGGTCAGGCCAGCCCAGCCTGGCCCATGAAAAATCATGGGCCAGGTCGGGCTGGCCCATGTCCCGATATATGTTGGCCCAACCCAGCCCACTAATATTTATGGGCTAGGTCGTGCCTTGAACAGTAACGGACCGTGCCAGCCCGTCACTATGTCAAGATGGGCCTGGGCCGGCCGACAGGTCCCGGCCCATTGTTGCATCTCTATTTATAAGTAATGTTCAAACTTTGTGCCGGCAAGCCGACCCGAGGCCTGAATTTTTCAGGCTCGGCTGGCAGGCCCAATTGTCGGCCCGTCCAACTTTATTTCTTAGGCTCAGGCTCAGGCAACCCGAAAATGAACAACTCGCCAGAGCCTGCCGCCGTGTTATCGCCATCCGCCGGAATTTTTTTGAATTTTTTCGGTCAGGCTCGATTTGCCATAAGCCCGAGCCTGAAAAAATAGATAAATTTTTTATCATTGGAGCCCGACCTGACGTGAAGCCCAAACTGCCCGACCCCAACGGCTATTTTTTTACTGTTGCCCAATTTTTCTGCCCGAACCTGACCCGCCAAAAAAATTAGCCGTTGGATCCGAATTTGGGCGAAAAAATTAATTTTTTAACCAAAATTTTTTTCTATAAATACCCCTCATCCCCCACACATTTTCCTCACTCAAACTCTCTCAATTCCTCTCAATTTCTCTCAATCTCTCTCAATTTCTCTCAATCTCTCAAATCTCCCTCACAATTTTTCTAGAAACTATCACAATATCCTAAAGCTCTCTCTCTCAAATTGCTCTTATTTTTTTGTAATGGATTCTTTTGGTTATAGTGGTATTCCCATTGATGCCCAGCACAACATGGAAGAAGAGAAATTTCCCACTAATGAATTTGTTACGCAAGAATCTGCTACTCCGTGCCCTAGTGGACGTATTGGAGGTCGTGGTCGCAATGGTGGTGGACGTGGAGAAGCGGCAAGTGCAAGTGCGACTGCGTCTGCAAGTGTTGCAATCTCCATGAGGAAATGCAAGCACACCTCAACAGTTTGGGATCACTTCGACATAATTGAGGAGATCGACAATGAAGGTAACACTAAACATATAGCTCAGTGTAAATATGGTTTATCTAAATTATAAGGTGACACTATTCACGACACCACACACTTGAGAAGACACTCTGAAAAATGTCTTCAAAAGCTTAGCTAGTTTGGCGAACCCGAACTCCGCCAAACACAATTATCTTTTGATCGCGCAACCGGTGGTCTAATGACTTGAAAATACTATCCGCAAGAAGATCGTATGGAAGTTGTGCGAATGATAGCTGCATTAGATCAACCACTTAGTTTTGTAGAGCATCATAATTTGTAATGATATATTAAAGTTGTACATAATCCTAATGCACAGTTAACTTCAAAAACTACTTTTAGGAAAGATTTATTAAAATTATTTAAAAAAGAAAAAGAAGCATTAGTAAACTTTTTACACTCAACTAGCAGGTGCGTTGCGTTAACGATAGATATTTGTTATGTCGTTGCCAATAAAGATTATTTAGCTGTAACCGGACATTACTTTAAAGGATTCGATTTAAATAAGAGAATATTAGGTCTTAAATGTATTTTAGGATCACATAGTGCCGATTTAATATGTAATACAATTTTAAATGTAATTGATGAATTTAGATTAAGAGATAAAGTAATAGCTATAACATTAGATAATGCTAGTGCAAATACTAAAGCAATTGAGTACTTCAAAAATGATTTAAGTTTATTCGGCGATAGTACTATTTTCCACCAACGTTGTGCATGCTACGTAATTAATTTAATAGTTAAATCCGGTTTAAAAGAAATGGACACTCACATTAAAAGAATTAGAGATAATATTATATGGATTCAAGGTAGTAACCAAAGACAAGAAGATTGGTTCAAGTTCATACAAGCATGAAATATACCTCTTAGAGCATTAGCCTTAGATATGTCTGTAAGATGGAACTCAACTTATATTATGCTTCAACAATGCATCCCCTATAAGGATGCTATAACAAACTATATCTGTACAAAATTAGGAACATGACATATAGACGCATATGATTGGTAAATTGCCGAAGTTTTGTATCAATTTTATGTAGGTTTCATGAAGTTACTTTAAAACTTAGTGGAACATATTACCCAACATCACCTTTAGCTTTAGGTAAGCTTTTAAGAATTAATATTTTATTTAGTGAATATAGGGCGGATCCAATCTTAGGAGTTCTTATCCATTCTATGGAAAAGAAATTTAAAAAATATTAATTTAAGTTGCCTTTGTTGTATGGTTTGGGTACTATTTTTTATCTTAGATTAAAATTAGACAATTTAGAAAGTGGTTTAGAAAACTTAGGTGAATTTTCAGGCATCAATTGTTCGGACTAATTTCCAACAATAAAGGAAAAGATATTTTCGATCTATAGTAAATATGAGAATAGGTTTAGAAGCACAAACTCTGGAGTACAGGAACTGCAACAACAAGATAAAACCCGCATTCATTCTTGAATGTTTTCAGGTTAAAGAAGAAGAAGAAGATAACTCAAACAGAAGCTGAGAGTGGATCTTCATCAACAGGTGGCAACAGCGGCGGCGGCTTTAACAAGCTTATGGCGTACCTCAGTGAGAGCTTAGTAGTCGACGGTACTAGAGAATCGTTTGAGTTAGTTTAATGGTGGAGGGCATGAGCATTAACTTGGTCAATCCTAACTCGATTGGCAATGAATATATTTTCGATCCCAGTCTCAACTGTTTCATCTAAACAAGCATTCAGTATGACAGAACGAATACTTGAGGAACGCTGAAACGCATTGTAAAGGGACACTGTTGAAGCCTTGGTCTGAATTAAGGATTGGGATCGTGCCGATCAACATCTACAGGATACAATTTCGCCGACAAGTCAAGAATGGATCGATGAATTTAATAGATTAACATTTAATTTTGAAGATGATCTTTCAGCTTCAAATTAAATTGTAAATTTATAATATGTAAATATGTATTTGCTTTTAACATTGTAATTGTATATTTAGACTTTGTAAGTTTGTAAAATTTCTAATTCGTCACAAAAGTATTGCACTCTTTTTTCCTTACAAAGTTTTTATCCCAATTGGGTTTTTCTTAGTAAGGTTATAAACGAGCCAATCGTAAATTATGAATTTAAAAATTAATATACAAAATTAATTTATTTAATTGTGTTAATAATGTGTGTTGAATGTTGATTTTAGTTTTTATATAATTTTAACACAAAATAACTTAATAATTATAAAAATTTAAAAATTTTAAAAGAAATTCAGGCATTCCGGGTGGGCTCGGGCAGCCAAAACCAGGCCCGCGGCCCGTCCACGGGCCTTCTCGGTCTTGGGAAGGCAGCCCGAAAATTTTAAACGGGTCGGGTCGGGCAAAAAATCGATATTTTCAGGCGATCGCAGATGACCCGTCTAAAGTTTTAGCACTATTTATAAGTCACAAGTCTTTTCTCTCTCGCTCCTGGTTTGCTGGCAAAGCTTTCACCCGACCTCACTCCCCACTGACATGAATTTCTTATTCCTTTCCATTTCTTTTCAGAAACTTTAATTTCCATTGTAAATTCACTTAGTGTAGTAGGTTGAGTCACGTCAGAAATCAATTCTATTTTATGACATTTCCGATGAGTCCTACCAATTCATTAATTCCACTATGTTGGTCTCTTATGAAGAACATCAATATATAGTATTCACATCTAAGGGCTTGTGGACTTCTTCTTCTTCTTCTTTTTCTTTTTTTTTTATTTTTTTATTTTTTTAAAATGAAAGGGCTTGTGGGCTTTTCTCGTTTTCAAGCAGAAACATAATACATATATCTCTTGTCATATATAGCAATAGTTTTCTGTTTTTCCTTGGATATTTCTAGTGGTAGTTTGTCAGTGTGTTCAGCAGTTCATCCTGTAGTTAGTGTGAATATTCAACTAAAACAAAAGCCAAACTCATGATTTTAGAATATGTATGTTTTATTTAATAGGCCAAGCATAAAAAGAGAGACATGCATATGGTTATAAAGTACAACCAAGAGCTATTAAAATTGATAAAACACCATGGAGGACCACTCCAATTTTAACATCTTCATGGAGCTCCAAAGGTGACACCAATGCATGGACTCCTCCTCATCCTACTTAATTCTTGGCTGCTGACTTGCTTCCGGTGCCGGATGTCTAAACAAACCAACATAAAAGTAAAATTAGCTTCAAACCTCGAAAACAAAACCGAATACACATGTTTAATTTCGTTGTGCAGCACAATTGTAGCGTCTCGTGATTTACAAACAAATACTTGAGCTATGTATTGTATTGTATTTTATTGTATTACCTTCTTCTTAGGCTCCCGAGTACTGGCCCCGCTCTTCTTAGGGGGGTTTTTGGAGGCCGGAGTTTTCGGCGTGCTAGTAGGAGCTTTAGCTGCAGGCTCCTTGCCAGGAGGTTTCTCAATCTTAGCTGATGCCATTTTTTTACTTTGATGCTCTTTTAAAAATAAAACACAATAGTATGTTTTTTTTTTTTTTTCTTTCTTACTACCTTTGCTGGCCTCAAGTACTAGGTGCAGCCCAAATAACCCATTTTATAGCTGAGCTTGAGGAATGTAACTTGGGAGTAGAATTCCCACTTACAGCAAATGGTGAATAGGGATTGTGATGGGGAATGGAATAATCTGAAATAGTGGGCCTTAAATTTCAGAGATTCTGTTGTATCTGATGCTTGATAACATAATGACATGGATTGGATGCCTATTCTAATTGCAAATGTAGATATTTCCTAAGGTAACTGTCAAATGACAGGTACATAAAGCTATGAACCTAAATCATCTAGAAGAAACTTTTCATGTGGCAAGCTCATTTGATTTTTTTTTTCTCTCTGCTTGAAGAACTCACAATAAAACCATTAACCAATACTCCAATAGGCACAAAAACTTATACTTGATTTGTGGGCATATTTTGGATTGAGTCCAAATGTGAAGAATTTATTTTCTTGTTGTAGCTCGAGCTATAATGTGTAAAAGAACATTTTGCAGTATTTGGATCCTTTTAATCTATTCAATTTCCATTTTTTGTCGGCTGATTAAATTGCTTTCAATGAGTAAGATTGCAGTGTTGCACAGATAAATACTATTGAAATAAGATTAGTGTTCCAAGATGTGAATTAATCTATACAAGCCTATCCAGTTGAGGTGAAATCTATGTTGTACAAAGTTCAGCCAGGACTGTTCTTTGGAGAATTCAACTCTAGAAAGTTGAAAGACTGTGAAAGTATTATTGTGTTAAAAATACACGACTTTCGCCATAGCCAGAAGTTGTTAAGAGCCAGAAAGTAGCTTGTTTTTGGTGTAAGATTGATGATATTTTGCTCCGGATTTACTCTTAGGTTATAGCACCTCTACATACATCCAAAGTAGTAATTGTTACATAACATTTTTTTTTTTAAAGAATTTTTTTTAATAGTTTGCCTTATGACAAATTACATTTATTCCCCCTGAATTATAAGCGTTTGAACAAAATGCCCCATAAATTTTAAAAGTAACAAATTTTCCTCCTGATGGCAGTTGTCGGCGGCTACTGGTCGGGATTGACTTATCTATGGATTTTGAGTGAAATGATGGGGGCGGTGCACTTCACCACCACTGGGACTGCGGTTTTTCGAGAGGAGGTGTGGCAACCTTAGAGGGCAGTTGTGATGAAGCTTTTTCGGTGGGAATCAACGACAAACTTCAGGTGGGTCTTGTTCCTCTCATCACTCTGAGTTCATAGAGACCGGAATCACTCCGATCGGAGGTCAGACGGAAAAGTTATGGCCATTAAAAGTTTTGGGTTTTTCAGAACTTCGGCCGGAAAGTGTGCCTTCATCCGGCGGAGTTGGCAGCCACAAGACACCAATCCAGACTCGGCTCGACGAGAGCTTTCTGATGATCCGGGAAGTGTCGAAAATGGACGTCGGAATACTTGTCGGAGCTTAGTGGTCGTGCACGGAAAAGGGAGAGGAAAGAGAGTGAGGGTTGTAATGCTTCTGATTAGGTGAGATTGACCAATCTATATGGGTAAAATCATTATTTTAGAATAGAATAAAAATTAAATGCCTCAACGATTTTTACGTGCCACTTAACATTTAAAATTTAACCGAGGGGACAGAAAAGTAGGACGCGTCCTAACGGCGAATTGTTCAAAAAGAAAATTTGTTACTTTTAAAATTTATGGGGTATTTTGTTCAAACACTTATAATTCAGGGGAAATAAATGTAATTTGTCATTTTTCTTTTTATGTACTTCTTTAAGTACTAATATTCTCAAGTCTTCATTGTGAAGTTTCTTTTCTTTGCCAGTAATTGTGAAGTTTCTTATTTTAGTGGAATATGACAATTGTCATGAGCAGGAAAACTCGGACGAAAAACACTTCACCAGAATAAGAATAAGCTTTGCATAAACAATCAATTACAAGGTACGGATTCCCATTTAGTAAGACGAAAACAAACTTCGATACAATCCGAATCCCATTTTAGACCTAAAGAGGGTCAGCCTGAGACTTTCTTAGTCAGCCAACATGATTATTTGATCAAGTTGGAAAATATGATGATCTCCATCAATTCCGTTAGCTTAAAATCTCAAAACACATAATTCAGTCTGTGAACCTTTTTTGTGTCAAGCAAAGCAGAGTCATTGAGGTTGTCCCATTCTCAGAGCCACATAAGCCAAAAGCCTATACCCCACAAACATCACAGTCAAAGCAGCCACATCCCACCACTTGTTATCAAGTCCAAGACACTTAATGGCAGGAAAATCCATTACCCTGCAATGCATTCCAATCCCACACTCATAGAACTCATTATCTGTGTATTGCACTCCCACAAGCAACTTGTAGCAGTAATGACTGAAGGATATGTACTTCAACCAAGCAATGAAGGCTGGGATTTTCTGAATGTAGTATCCGCCGACGAGTAAGAAAACGAGCATAGTCACCGAAGCTAGTGTGGTGGCCTGTTTTACATCCATGAGAATGGCTCCTAAGGCTAGTCCTAGCCCTTGGGAGACCAAGACATTGAAAAGTATGATCAATAGTGTTAGTAAGAATGTAATGAGTGAAGGCTTGAGGCCTCCCATCCAATACGTGACCGTTACGAAGACGGTTGGCAGCACGAGCTCCATTGGTAAATCGCCCGCCATTCGAGCAAAGTAGTAGGAGGAGAGGCGGTACATGCCCGAGGAGCGCTCTTTTATCAGCATTGGCCTTTCTTGAGGGAATGCAAAGATGGCATTGAATAGAGGGAAGAAGCCCCAAAAGATGGAGAAGAAGAAAAGAAGTCCAATCTGTCACAAATAATATCATAGTCAAAGTTGTTACTAATGAACAAGATGTGAAATTTAAAAGACCTAGATGTAGAGACAAAAATGACTAATCTAATTCTCTATTTACCATCTACTTGTTTGATTTTGTATTACTTAATGGTTCTTAGAATTTGGAATTGGATAAGGTAAACATGGCAAGTTCTTGTACGGCACTTGGACTAGTCAACTTTTTGGGACAAGTTGTTCTCTAACAATTGTGACCATCTATTTTTTCCCCCTTGTTGGAACAAATTAATAAAAAATGATTTGCGAAAAGTTGACTCCTATGGCTCATTTAATGCCCACTAGAAACACTGTTTTTACATGACATTAAAAGTAAAGTATAGGGAAAACATATATACCTGATCTTGTATATTTGAGGGGTCAGAGTGCCACCACAGAAGGCCTGAAAGAATTGAAACAGACATGACTTGGAAAATCCTTAAGCCTGAGTAAGATTCATGCTTTCTTTCTTTCAAACCCCTTCTCAGAAGCACCTTAAATTGCACCCACCAGCTTGTGATCCACTTATTCTCACTACCTACAAGGTCATTTGCTTATGATTAATGTTCAGTATATCATCCACAAATGACTGCTACATTTACATAGAGATTCTGATATGCCACTTTCTTAGATGACCAACAGTGTCAGTTTACCAATCCAGGCAAAACGTGATGGTAATTTTAAAGGAGATAAAGAATGCTATCACAGAATTTTGAACTTAGATCGCCCGCTTTAATACCACGTTAATTTACTAATTCTTTTAAAAATTTAAGCGGCTAGAAAGTTCGCCAATTTTATATTCTAACAATCAAAGTCAATATATATTTCAACGTAGACTTTCACTTGCCTCTTAATGATGAATTTCTAACTGGGTCTTTGTGATTTCCGTGAATCTCAGCCTTCAAGGTGGGGTATATGTTCTTTTTGTAGGACGATACTAGGTGCTGCTTAATTGAATTTTGGTCGTCAAGATGCTCCAATCTGCCATGAAATTCATGTTGGTCATCCTGTTTTATGTCAGTTGCAATACCTGCATTCATAGGTTGAATCAGTAAAACCAAGTAAATGTAGAAAGTAAAAGTGGCAGTTCTCTTGTTTCTTCTTAAGATTTACTATGGAGGGAGTATTTATCGTGGAGCATGCTATTTTACTCTATCGATAGAAATTGTGTTTTAATCATTAAATTAATTTTTTCAACCGTCGGATATGTAATATAAGCAATTATGTATAGCATATTATAAATTTTTAACATTGACATGTACAGATCTAAGCGTTAAAATACTAATCTAACACTTAAAAATATATGTTCTCACAAGTGATGCTAAATAGTATACTTTACCGTAAAAATTCCCCGGAAGAAAAATACACAAATAAAAGGGCAAAATTTGGTGGGGCAAGTGAATGATCATCAACAATCCTAAAGTCAACACTGATTTATAGGATTGTTGTCCATATCACAGCTATTGGCGACAATCAACCAGCAATATGATCGACTATTATGTAACTTCAAAAGAAAAAGATCCCAAATGCAAAGAAAATCAGATCAATTGACTAGTAAAATTCCAAGCACACAAAAAAAAAAAAAAAAAAAAAAAAAAAAGGACTAGCTAGAAGGCCACCCCTAAATATAGACCTCCATCTAAAAGCAGAATATTGAGATAATTCTTGTTTGAATAATTGAGGGCATATAAAAAAACCACTCTACTTCTCAACCATATCTCAAGCAGAAGATATGACCAAATTCATTTACATTTGTATATTTTTCAGACTTGATACGATTTTGATTTACCAGCCCTTTATACGATGAGAATATTCTATTGACAATTTATCTCTCTAAACGTTAAATCTAGTAAAATTCATGTCAAAATAAAAAAATACGCAAAAATTGATAGTTTCTTAAATGCGGATCTAAATTAAAAAAAAAAAAAAAAAAAAAAACCCCCTACCGATAAACTTTTTTTCTTTTCATTTTTACTCCAACACCCACTACAAATAAAACTCATCCCATCAACCTAGAGGTAGTGACAAAGGAGGATGGAAAACTAAAGAGCAAGGATACAAACAGTAAGCTATAAATAATGGAGGGTCAAATCAAATGAATTTGTTTGCCAAGACATTGGGTCCTATGTAACAATGATAGAGCTAAGCTAAAGCTTCCCTTTTTTTTTTTTTTTTGGAGGAGTGGAAGAGACATTTTGTATGAAGGCCTAAAGTTAGGAACTAAGGTTCAATACTAACAATGAAGTAGATATAATCTTCATCTGACTTATAAAAAGTGGGCAAGCTATACTAAAGCTGCAACCAGTTTCATGTGAATCCCAATTGTAAGCCAATAGATTTGATTAAACAAGGTTGTCGGTGAAGTGAATTAATTATCTATATGTGAGAAAATTTAATGAAGTAACTGTTAAAAGTTTCTCAAAGTTTGCAAAGTAGTTAGTTGTGTTGGACAGTTTGGTGAGGTTCACACATTGACCGCAAAAAAAAAAAAAAAAAAAAAAAAAAAAAAAAAAGAGAGGGAAAAAAACGTAATAACTTTTTGGAAGTAAATAAAATTGTGCTCTTCCAAGGTTGTCCACACATTTAAGATTTATTACAAAAATAAAAAGCCATATTTGCCATATTGTCTATGTCATGTAATATAGTACTAACTTTACAAAAATGAATAATACTAATCATATCAATATTTATGAAACTTCATACCCCTTTCAATCTGATAATGTTTTTGGTGTTAGTCCTACTCCTATAATTTGAGAAGTGAACAAAAATGCATTTTTACCCTTAAATATAGTATGTCAAAAAATTATAACCAGTGCTTTTATATTTCTACTTACCATTAGCAAGATCAAGCAAAAAATCAGCCGGGTTCATGAAATTGAACCCGGGGACGTATCCGATGGAGCCGAAATAATCCATGACCCGTCCCGCCTGCCCGCAATAAATGGGGCAGCCCTCGGACAATACCACCACCTTATCAAACATTCTGTACAGCCTACTGGACGGCTGGTGAAGGGTAGTGATGACTGTTCGGCCGCCGCGTGCCAGCCCGCGCAACGTTGCGATTATCCTCTGCGCCGTCGTGGAGTCGAGCCCCGACGTCGGCTCGTCGAGCAGCAGCAGGCACGGGTTTACCAACATCTCCTGCCCGATACTGACCCGCTTCTTCTCCCCGCCCGACACGCCCCGGAGGAGCGGCCCACCCACGACGCCGTTGCGGCACCGAGTCAGGCCGAGTTCGACGATGATCAACTCGGCCTGTTCGATCTTCTCCTCCCTGGTGAGCTTCTTCGGAAGCCTCAATAAAGCTGCGTATGTCAAGGTCTCTAACACAGTCAAGTGAGGGTACAACACGTCGTCTTGTGAAACAAACCCGGTTTTGCGCTTCATTGAGCTGGAAAAAGGCTGGCCATTGTACGATATGTTACCGGAGATCTTCCCCGGCAAACGACCGGCGAGAGCCGTGAGGAGTGTCGTTTTGCCGCTGCCGGAGGGGCCCAGCATTGCGAGAAGCTCCCCGGGCCGAACCAACCCAGAAACTCCGTTGAGAACGGCCCGGGTTGGCTTCGGCACATGCGTAGAAAAGCAGTTCATTCCGTTTCTGGGTTTCAGGTTGACGGTGTAAGCAACGTCTTCAAACTGTTTGAAAAGAAGAAAATAAAAATCACATTGATTACATTATAAAAAATGAAAAGAAGTTAATCATAAACAAATTTGATATTGAATTATTGGTATATTTTGGGATGTTATACGTACCTTGAGAGTAACGGGGCGTAGAGATTCGCGAAAAATGGAAGATCTAACGGCGCCTGCCGATTGGTTATGGTGATCTGCAAGCACCAGATTATGATGATGATCATGGTCATGACCCAACGAGCAGGTGGGGCTGGTTTCGGCGTGATCACAAGACGGTTCGGCGTGAACGGAACCGGTCTCCGACGACCGGTTCACGTTTGTGAGTAAGAAGCTGGGCGACGGAGTTGTGGTGGCACTAGTGGTGGTGCTATTTGGGGTGCCTGTAATTGTCTCTTGCTCAGGAGGCATCATTTCTAAAGTTTAGAAATTAAAATTTCACCAAAAAGAAAAAGGATTGAGATCAGGAATAGGGAAGATTGGGAATTAATCTAATGTTAAGAGAGAGAGAGAGAGAGAGAGAGAGAGAGAGTAGAAGAAATATTGAGGAGAGAAGCTGAAAGGGAAGAGGGATTGAGATGGGTCACAAATATTTCACATGCAAGAAGAAGACATCATGTGATGAGTTTATAAATAAAGTGAAGAAAAGAGGCACGAGAATTGTAGGAACAAACAAGCCACTGATATAGTAGTTCGTAGAAGTACTATTGCTAAAGAGACACGACCATATATGACTAAGTTATTTTTTTATATATATTTTTTTAAAATTTGTTGTTTGTTGTTGCCTTGTGGTGTGTTGGAGGTCTAGGGGTGATGTATTAATTAATGAATATTGGTTAATGCATTTATGTTCTTTCCCCTATAGCTAGTTGGTGTGTGCGTGTATACAGGGAATTTGTTGTGTGCCCTCTTTTTGTAATCTCCGAACCACATATATCTCTTTTTTAAGATTTTTTTTTTTTTACTGTAGGACTCCATACTTAGTACACGTTTCAAACGGTTGGATTTATTAAATCACATCAAAATAAAAAACTACGCAAAATAAATAGTTGTTAATATGCATGTTTGACGACTGAAAAATATACACAACAGTAATTTATTTTCGAGTAATCCTATTTATCTTGTAAGGTTAAATTCCTACCAATTCACAAAAGGATGGACCTCACCTATAGATCTCACCTGGATCTCACATGTCGGGCTCATTCTTTATGAGAGGGTGCGGACATATATGACTATAAAACATCTTTGGTTTGTTTCTTTAAGTTTTACAGGAGAAATGCCATTTTCCAAAAAAATATATATGTCATGTTTATATGGTACGTGTAAAGGGATTTTTGGTGTACACTGCTTTTATAATTAGTCGTTTCCACCAATACATTCATCAATAGAATTTTGTTTGGATTTTATCGATCGTCCCCTACTCATATTATCACACAGTTAATTAATTACGTATAAAATCCGAAAAGAAACTTTGACTAAGATTTGGTAGTACTAAATCAAGCTGTAGTTGACTCTCATTGTTCATCATTGCTTTTGCTTTGCTTTACTTTTCTTAATATGCTGTATTTAATATATTTCATATATTTATACATGAATTTCGTACTTGCCAAATTATATATATTTAGCTCATAATCTTTATATATATTTATATTGATATAACGCACTTGATTTTATCGAATATCCGGCATATACATGTTAATTAAAAAAAGCTTTGGAACTACATGTATACTCTATGCATATATGCTATACGTACGCTTGTAGAATACCTATACCACACAATCATACGTGTGGATTTTATTTTAGGGCTCGTTTATTTTATATACTCAAATTTAAATTATTAATTCTGCTACAGTATTTTTTTCTTACAAAAAATTTAAATTTAAAACATCAGAATTAAGAATCATTGTTTGAATATACTTTTCAAACTGTCTTTATATATTTGTCTTTTAAGTAGTATAATGGACTATATTATATTGTTGCTTTACATGTATCTCTTATACCCTTTCTCGTCAATTAATTAATTTTCTACCCCAATCTTCTTATTTAAACACTAATATATATTTAATCCGTGAACTTAAATTCCAAAAGAGATTTTTTCAGGCTTTAATTTGCCTGTATAATTATGCTTATTCCGTTTTGTTATCACTATTTTTACCAAATGTAGATTATGCTGCTAGGCGTAAGCCAATCAATATAATGGGACCGTCCATATTTCACAGATAGAAAAGCTAATTAAAAAAACAAAAAGTTTATACATTCATCTCCTTTTTCAAACAAAAAAAAAAAGAGGCAATTTAGAATGTAGCAAAACAGGGAATATATATATATTTGTCATGGTTTTATGGGGAAGCGAAAAATCAATAATGGTAGTTAAAGTGTAGCTCATCATCATCATCATCATCATCATCCACTTAGGTGTCAGACTCAAATAGAACCCCAACCAACCCCCAACACTTCTTTCTAAATATATATATATATATATGAGACAAAGAACGCTGTTTAATTTCTTAGCTCGTGCCCTTTTAGTTGTCAAATGCCTATTCAATAGAAGAGATAGTGGCTGAGATTGTGTCGTCTTCCTGTAAAAGACTTTGCTTCAAGGTGGTGTCACCATCAATGAAAGTTCATGCTTTTTATGATTTTTCCCCTTTTTTTAGAGATTATTACGGCTAAAAAAAATAAATTATTGATATATCTTTATTTTATAGTTGATAAATTTGTATAAAAAATTATCGTTTTGTATATTATATAATATGATATAGATCAAATTTACTAATTTAACAGTAAATTTAACAATCATAAATGTGCACCATCTATAAAAAGTCTTACATTAAAAGTATCCTTATTTTTTCTTTCTTTTATTTTATTATTATTATTATCATTATTATTTGAAAAAGGAATCGATCACAGCTTGCATTGATCTTAGTACGGGTGTCGTATTATATACTAATCACCTTAATAACATACGTGTTAAAATTAATGAGGTGGTGGTGGTGACACTTCTGCTTGGTTTACTCGATTTGAAAAGTATGATCTATACGGCCGAATTATTCCATATAATACGTGGATCTTCCTATAATTGTGAATTTATTGGACTAATTACAATATTCGTGTATGCTACACTTTCCATTGATTGAACCATATATTATATACAACGCCTCACAAAATTTTACTTGAATTGAATAGATCAACGAAAAATCAAACATTCTCTTGCTTTCTATAATAGAGAAGATTCTTGGTGTCAAGTTCTTGATTCTCAATATATAATATATATATATATGTTCCTAACATAATCTGTATTTATTAATTAATTGCATAATTGCTAGCTAGCTATCATGATGTTAGATAGGCCAACAACAACCATACTTTTTTTTTTCCTTTCCTTTTCTTTTATTATTTTCTTTTGGATTCTTTGCTTTTTTGTTCTGAGATTAACATGCACTAGGGCTACACATGTCATTCACAAATCCTGCACACTACAAACCGCTCTCTTTGGATTCTCATCTCAAAATCAAAAATATCCAAAATGAGTTGATAAATTTTTCTTTAACCTATACTTTTCCTACTTCACCAATACTATATCTATACAGTAAATTTGATTCTCCTTTTGTAAATCACTATTTGAAAAACTTATCCAAGTGCAAGTTCTTTTGCAGACCTTTTATTTGGACAGTATGTATACAGTTAATTTGATTCGCTTATACCATGTAAACTCTTGTTATCTTTGTATGCATGGCCTTTCTATGTGCCAAGTGTCCATTGCTACAAGACCATTACTTTCCACTTGGCTATTACACAGTGGTTGATGCTCTACTTTTTCATTTATAATTATAATTTGCTTTTCTGAAAGTTTGATGTATTGGTTTCTTTCTTTCTTCCCCACATTTCTATAAATTTCCTTCAAAGTCCAATCTTGGCGTATATTGATCTTATAATGAGATTCTTTGCTTGACCCTTACAATGAGAGAATGAGAAATTAATTTGATCTTTTTTTCCTGACCCCATAAAAAGTAGATTAACGAATAAGATTTGTCTTAAAACCAAGAAAGTTTTGTGCTTGCACCTTAAATTTTTGTATATATAGATCAACAATTTTGATCTGATTGTGAGTTGCCCCGGCAAAGCATTGTCACCACTACTTTTTCTTAGTTATAGATTCGGTGATATCATATGATATATCAAAAATAAGAATGTCAATCTTGTAGAACTTCTTTCTCCCCAATAATAGACAGTTCAAAAGCCTTACTAACGGAAAAGTTTGAATGTTCTTTGGGTAAGACTCAAATTCAGAATATCCAAGTTTTTGGGCTCAGTCCAAAGTAGTACTCTACTTCTCTACTAGATTAAACCTATTAAGCATGATAGTTTTTTTTTTTTTTTTTCTCCTTTTACATATTGGTGAATACTCACATATTATACATGAGAAAATTTAAGTCACGACACTAATTAAATTTTTGTTTAAACAGTTTATACACGCAATATTAATTTTATATTAACTTAAGTTTTTCTTTTTTAAGAAAACAGGCATTTTTTTTTTGGGGGTTAAAACCTCATAGAGGAAAATTTATTGAATTAGAGAATATATTAACTAAAGTAATTAGATTAATCTATTACCAAAAAGTAATTAGTTTAATCACGAATCAGTCTGATGAATACTAAAAGTTGATCTCAAGGATTATCTCCATTAACGGAGCCATCAAAGGCCCACGGCTTAAGCCTCCACTTAAATTATTTATTTTAAAAAATCTTATAAGTGTGTATTAATTCTCAAAAACAAAGTAGACATTAATAAACTCAATCTTCAATAGCCTTGATAATAAAGTAAATATACAACATTTCAAGGTGTAAAAAACGCGTCGGCGACAATTTTGATTAAATTTTATCTAAATAATTAGTCCTCAATGACAACAAAAAAAAAAAAAAAAAAGTTTCTGGCTCTCACTAGCTAGTTGCTGAATCAGATCATAAGAGATTAAAGGAACTTAACAAAGCTAGCTAGCTAGTTTGACTGCTAAATAATAGTACTGATATATATATATATATATATATATCCAATATGATTCTTTGGAAACTTGCGTAAGTGAAATAGTGGTATGAAAAGCAGAGAGCTTTTGTAAGTCGCCCGTGTCGTATATAGATATTTTGGTAAAAGATCGAGGCGAAGAATCAGATCTAAATCAGGCTATATAAAGTATAAGACAACTTGAGACAACGAAATAAGGGGAAGAAAAAGAGAGAGCAGAAACTACCAGTAAAGTTATTAAACCCATGTAATGTAAAAGCATAATGTGGCATATATAGATCTCCCTTTATTTTCCCTTTTCTTTCTTTTTTGATTTTTTTTTTCTTTTTGCCCCGGAAATGTCGCATATAAGATATTAGATAAAGTAACGTTATGAAATTCAAGTGATCCCCACCAAAAGATGTGATCTTATCTATATTAATTTGTAACCTATTAGCGTTTAAATTCAACCAATAACATTGAAATATGAACATGCATGAGCACCTTTTTGAGTGATCTCAAAGATTAAATTTCTGTCCATAAAAGTAGGATCACACATTTACGACTG